CAGCCAGCTGCACCGCGCGAGGACAGAGCCGCAGAGGCACGGCGCTTCCTCGGGTACGGGTCCACGCAAAGCCGAAGCGGTGGCTTTTGGAGCTGACGTACCTCCCTGAAGGAGGTGACTACTTCCCTTGCAAAACTGATGGATGCAAGGACCACTCTCGCATCCCCCGAATATCAGCGTGTTACCTGACACAGGCTTCTCAAATCTGGCTGCCTTCGAGACCAGACCTTTGAGTGCATTAGTAGAACAAAGACTTTCTGTAAGATTGGAATTTTTTAGTATCTGCGAATAAACTTGGTTCAAACTGTTTGATTAGGTTTTAAAAGCAGCAAACAGAAGCCTCCTTTGAACGCGTAACAGAATAATATACAGATCAAACTTTTAAGAGAAAAAAATCCGGGGTTTTTTGGTTCCAAATTTACAAAGCGGCCAGTTAAAGAGGCGCTTGAGCTCATGCCTGGCCTCCTTTTTGTAACCCAGTCCAAGTAAATAATAAAGGATCTGTAGCACCTGTGATTACAGCGCTACAGCTTGCAATGAAATAATATTTTCCACCAAAGGCACGGAGAAGTGCTTACCAGATGTTACTACATTAATCTGAAGTACCTGTCTTCTGGATGAAGAGAGGGGAAAAAAAGGAAAGCAGAAAGAAACAGGGACAAGCCTTCTGCAGAGGAGCCAAAATCTCACAGCAACACAGCACGACCTGGTGCTCTCCCTCACGGTCCGCTTCCACTCTTAGGACACGAGTCATGGTAATGCTTTAAAAAACATCCGAGAAGTTAAAGAACTGCTTCTCCCCCTACAACAGGCTTCAAACGCAGAAGGTGAAATTGAGGGCAGATGCTAGGAGCGACTCTGCCTTCCAGGGAAGCACAAGAACCGAGGCGAGGCGAGTTTCCCTCTTGTCTCAGGAAGGATGAAAGCAGACGCATCCCGCCTCGGCGCACAGGGATGGACCGGTCCTCTCCAACCCTACCGCTCTTGTGTTTGCATCTCGTTACCCGCTGCACTCATCTAACTTCTCGTCTACATCAAAAAGCGCTCATTAGCCGTATTTTATTCCTGTGCAATTACACCCCTTGTGTTGTTCGATGCGACATTTGTTAGTTCTAAAAACAGTCATACAACACGTTTAAGCGAAAAGAAGGAAATAAAGAGAAAAGCCGAGGAAGCAAAACAAAAAAGATTCTCAACGTGCCGAAAGCTTGTTAGCGCTGAGCTGCTCGACATTATTTCGAGGGCAAGGAATAGGCAGTGGGGTTTAATGGTTTATGGGCATGGCCTGTGCAGAGGTGGAATGACCGAGTGGACAGACAGCGTACACGCAGATTTTTGCCATGCTTTACGAGAAGATAACGTCTGATTTTGCTCGGGGCTGAAAACCCTCTCATCCTATAACCGCCGACGTCACAGGACAGCAGGGCTTGTTAAACAACGTTACCTTCCGACCCTCCTCGAGAAAAATGCAAAGAAAGGCTCTACTCTGTAAAGGCGCAAATGTAAGATGTATGTTATGTGCTGAATGCTCCAAATGAACGGGGTAAGCGGGACTTACCTTTTCTCCCCCTTTCCACAGGTCTGCAAAGTGCAGACCCCTCGCGGATCCCGCTCAGGCCAACGTCCCAGCATGCCCTCAGCTGGTGATGTCCCACCCACCACTGAAGACTGCCTAGAGGGGTACAATGCAAGTCTTGTTTCGTTTTTTTTTTAAACACTGTTGCACCTTTTTGTAAAGTTTTCTGCCAGTCGTTCTTTATCAACAGTGGGCGTTAGGGAAAAAGACAACTCTACAAAAAGGTGCAAAGACTGGGGGGGAGAGGGGGGGATTTGGCTTACCCCTATCGGCAGGTTCCTCAATGGTGGGTGAGGCGAGACCAAGAGAGGGCATGCTGGGGAACCGCACCGAGCCAGGGAAGGCAATCCAGGGTTGCTCTGCACTTTGCAGGCCTGCGGAAAGAGAAAGAGCGACAGGGACATTACCAAGATGCCGGGAGGCTCGGGACATTCGGCGCACGAAAGGAGAGAAGGCGCCGGAGTACAACCTGCAAGTCCTAAATATAGGAGGCGATGTCGACCTCAAACGGCATCGAGGTTTCAGGACCGGGCGGTGCTCCGAGAGAAACCGTGACACCGAAGCTACTCCAAGACACGGACGCGCACCCCAGAACCGAGGCGCCGGCCACGAGACCGCTCCCAAACCAGAAATATTACATCAACTCAAAATCGCCGGGTTTGACTCCAAGCCTCCTGGAAATCTGCACGCTTGGAAGCCAAGGTTATTCAGCGACCTCCTCTGAAACCAGCAGTTTTGAAAGATAAATGGCGGCTATGTCACTAGACAGATCTAGATGGATACGTTGGATGTATCCTAAGAGACAGATGGAGAATCAATGTTCACACCTAATGGAGGCAGCCTCCATCCTCCAGCTGCGGCTGACCGGGCGGCACCGTGCTGGGGGGCACCCGCACCCCAAGAAAAAGAGAAGGCAAAGGCAAGAAGGAAGAATTCAGAGAGGGATTTCAGAGTTTGGGCAAAGCCAGACACAGGGAAAAGGAGAGAAAGTGAAAGATAAGCAGAGAAAAAGGCAGGAAAACAAGGAATGAAGTGACCGAAGCAAAGCAACATGGGGAGGTATAGAGAAAGCAGGAACATACACAAGCGCTGTGTATATTCTTTTTGTTGTTGTCGTTAGTAAAATCTATTTGCTCTACTGGCACACTTTATAAAATAGACTCCCACGATGACCCACACTGACGCCGGGTTGTTGTACGAGAAACGTGTGTTCACACACGTGCCACTGCCAGCTCCTCAGCGTGGAAACAGGTTTCCACGCCTCTCGCGTGGGAAACGGGGAAGGAGATCAAATCCATTTAAGACCAATACGTACCGGTTAAAACCATCTGCAACGTTTTTCTCATTTGCCTAAATTTTGACAGCCAAGCAAACATCACCCTTGCATTCATCCCGACAAACCCAGAACCACCGGAGCATCGGAAGATGCCCAAAAGCGTGAGGATGGACTTCATCGGTGTTAAGGCCGGTTTTTAAATTAGCAATTTGGGGTAAACTCACACTTCCAGATACGTTTCTTCCACTGGAGGTTTGCCTCCCAAAATCAGCAAAGGCTGGCGTGAAGTCCGGTCCTCGAGGCAGTATCCGAGGGTCCAGAGTTCTCAGGGGCAATTTCGGCTGATTGACCTGCATTGTGGAGCAGAACAAACAAACAGGATCTGTTCAGCGGGTGCTGGAGCTACCAAAGTTCACGCAAGTCTACAGACAACCTCTGCTAAACCCTAAGAGTCATATTTAATATCCAAATTAATGCTTTCGACAAACTGTGCAAGTTTTATGCATCCACACTCACACTAAGAATAAGCATTTAATTTAAAATACGTCTTCTGCAGGTGACTATTGAGGAAATAGGTGGAGTTCAGAAACATTTCAAGGCTGAGCATGACTTACGGAGGATAAAATTACGGCAACACGGGCCCGTCTTCCACAAAAGGAATGTGATAGTCTTGGTTCAGGATCACAAAACTGCCACCTTCCCTCAAACAAATGTCTTTTGTGTTAACAAGACAGATAGCCAGCCGAGGAAAGGAAACTCAAAGGCAGACAGAGCAGTGAGAAGCAATCGCGGAAAAACAGTAGGCGGATGAAATAATTTTGGGAACAAAGCTGCGTTTTACAATTTGTCTGGGTATGAAATTCAGAGTGGAAATGTTTCTGCACATGAGAATCGCCTATATCCTGAGCTGCGCTTGAATCTTAAGAGCGAGTCTGTAACGGTTACATCAAAATCAATGAACTCCATAGTTCTAACTGAGATGAGAACAAGGGCTTGGTGTCAGCACTTCAGAAATAACAAGGATTTCAATAAGCGCAGACATACGGCAGAGTAAATCACATCTGTAATAAGGCTGGATAGAAATCACAAAACAAGTTCTTGAGAATCAAGATTTTAAAGATCTTTTATTAGATCAGCTCATAAACACCGACACAACTGCTTCGGACCAAAAAAAGAGTTTGCCCAAAAGCCTGCCTATGCTTTCTAACCATAGAATTGATCTAATAAAAGACACTGCCTCTCTGCTCAGTCCTGCTTTGCTTACATCCTTAGTTCTTCATGGTTATGTCATCTTAGATTTTAATAACAACCTGGTATAACTTAATCCAGATAGAGACCATTAAAAATCCTTCGGTTTTTAAATCATCTGTGCACATTCATTAGGCACCAACACCTCTATTTGAAGAATTTTGTGATTAACATTAACATCAGCCAAATATTTCCCCTGCCCGACAAAAGTCTGCATCGAAACGGTCAAGCACTAAAGCACGCATTAGGGATCTTTATTTATATTAAAAAAAAAAAAAATTGCACGCACCTGCTTTATCGGCTCTCCTCTCACCTTGTCGAGAACGACATCGCTTATGGGAGGCAGCCCCTCCGGCTTTTGGATACAGGCAGGCATGAACTGGAAATCCAGTAAGAATTCCCGGTCGTACTGCTTCTTCCCCTCTGGGTCCAGGGGCTTCCACTGCTCTATAAGGGGAGAAGGTGCCTGAGATTCATAGGTAACAAAAACCTTCGCTCTCCGAGACGCGTTGCTGGTAAATCCAAGGGGAAGAGATTGCTACAGCCGCTTGGGAAATTTTCATTTAACTTTATATTCATTTTGAAGGCAGGGAGGAGAGGAATACGCTTCACATTAAAGGGACATAAAGAATGGGGAGCGTACAGCCGGCTCCAGCAGCAGCCGCTCACGGAACTGATCACTAATTCCAGTTTTAACCCACGTCATCTCATTTGAGCTCCGGGTTCCGCTCCCTCGAAACGGGGACGATTCCCCGTTTCTGGGTAAAAGCGCAAAAGTTAAAGCGGCTGGTTTTGCGTAAAAGTGAACAATAAATGCAGAGCCGAGGAGAGCACTGCGCAGAACAAAAATATCCTTTGAAAACGTGAAAATACCAAGCCTTTAACAACCCGCGCTGGAGATAACGGTGGGAACCAAAAGCAAACACAACCACAGGCCACGCTTTACCAATTACAACTTTTCACCCGTTTTTTCAGAGGGCTTTCTGGGCAGAACTGTGGCACGGAGGACCTTGCCTGATGCAAATGAAAATGTCAACCTGCAGCCGTTTCAGCGCAAGGAAAATTAGCAGCTGGTAGCCTAGAGACAGGATTTTCTCTGCCGGCCGCAGTTTGTTTGAAGGCAGGACGGAAAACATGGGCTTGCTCAGCAGCCAGGTTAAGCAGTCAGGCCCCTCAGCGGGCGGCACCTTTTTATCCGAAGGAAAACATCTGTACGAGATGCCGCCTTCGTACCTCACTGATGCCGAACGGCGTTGCTTTGCATTTATCCAGCCGCCCAGGTTCGCTGTTACGTTTTCCTATTATTTCTTTATTTTAGTCCCTGGCCACCAGCTTTAGGGTTCCCCCCATCCTCACCCCCGCAGAGGCCACGAACAGGAACGTATTTCAAGCGATGGGTTTTAATAACTGGGAATGACAATACACAAAAGTCGTTAGGATTTTTAGCTCTTTGTGCAGCTTTATCTCTACAGAGCTCCAGGATAAAAGGGTGCAGAGAATGGTTGGGCTGGCTAGCTGTGTCCCAGCCAGAATTCCCAGCCAGCTGAC